GGGGGCGGGACAGTAATGAGATGGACATTAGGAGACCCCCCTCCCGTGGGTAACATTTGAGCAGATCCCTGCGGAAGAGAAAGCAAGCCACGGGCTCTCTGGGGAAAGGCGGTCCGGACCCCGGAGCTCAGGGAGTGGGGCATCATCCATCGCTTGCCAGGAAAGAGAAAGCAGAGTGTGAGAAATGGTGTGAGAAGGAAGGAAAACGTTAGCAGCGTGAGGCTTTACCTGAACCGTGGCACCTGAGGCACACCACCCAGGACCAGCTCAGGATCCGGGACCTGCCCAGGCTGCTCACTGTCCAGCTGAGGGGGCAGATTCTGAGGCGATTTGGAAATCTCACTGGGCCGACTTCGCATTCTCGCTCCAGAGTCGCCGATCCGGAGGTTTTTGCAAGGATCCCGGCCCCTCAGGCCTGCTCACACCCCAGGTACTGCCTCCTCCTCCCGCCCCCCGTGAGTCCTTGAGACGCCAAAATCCCCCAGCCCACGCCGCTTCCCAAGTCCCTGCCCCGCGTCCCGCCCCCTCCGGGCTACGTCCTTATCCTCACGTTGCCTTAGAGCCCGGGCTGCGCGGCCGGAATCCCGCCCCTAATCCGCTCCGCTTGGATACCGGTGGAGGGGTGGCCCCGCCCCTGCGGTAGAACCCCGCCCCCACCTTGGTAAGTATGGAACTGAGCGTCAACGATTGGTCTGAATCCGAGACCTCGTTTCCTAATTGGCTGTGGTGTTCGCTGGGTTTCTCCAGAGCTGTGATCCGGAAGTGATTCCTGCACCGCCGGCCGCGTGGATCTTCTGCTGTGGAGTCGATACGACCGACGCTGCGATGACCAAAATAAAGGGAGATCCAGACGGGCAGGAGGCTCAGGCGGAGGCGTGCTCTGGGGAGCGCACTTACCACGAGCTGCTGGTGAATCTGAACCCCATCGCACAGCCCCTGGCTTCTCGCCGCCTCACTCGGAAGCTCTACAAATGCATCAAGAAAGGTGTGGAGGCCGCGGAGACCCATGGGGGCGCGGGAGACTGGACAAGGGCCCCCACGACTGACTTTTATGTCGTTGCAGCCGTGAAGCAGAAGAAGATTTGGCGCGGGGTGAAGGAGGTTCAGAAGTTTGTCAACAAAGGAGAGAAAGGGTAAGAACCCCCCCGCCCTCCGCTGGATTTTGCATTTTATACGGTAATGAAAGTATCTCTACTATTTAGTAGGTATTCGGTAAAAGTACTCTATTAGGAAATAAGCAGTCAGTAAATTCCCTTCAGTGCGGCTAACCGCTACATCACTTCACTTACCCTAGCGGTCAGGGATCCTACGGGGAAAATGAATTCCAGGGGAAGCAAATCGAAAAAGCCAAATGAGTTAGGATAGACCCCAGCTTCTTTCTTTTAGCGACTGTTTTAGTGTCTGCTCTTTTTTAGGCACTGTACTATGGGGAGACAGTTACTTTAATCAAATAGTCACGTGCAAAATTAAAAGTTGTGATGCTAACTAACTATGAAGGAAAAGTATAGGATGCAGTGAGAGACTTCATTACCCTGCACCTTTCTTTTCTGGCATTTATCAGAATCTGAAACTCATTTGCATTTTTATTCCTTGTATCTCCCACTTAGGCCAGACAGTAAACTCTATGAGAATAGGATAAAACCTCTCCCTGCTTTATCCCCAGAAGTGTAGGTTCTCAAGAGATGAATTGCTGGGGAGGTTTGATGCTAAATGGGGAGTCTGACCTAGGTGGGGGTAGCTGAGATCTGAAGATAAAGGAAATGGTTTGGAGGAGAGGGGCTCTGCCAGAAAAAAGTAGGTCCCAGGGCAGAAGAGGGGAGTGGTGGGCAGAAGTGCTCCCTCTCATGGAGCTTTGTAAGCCACGGTAAATTTAGTTTTTGTACTCAGAGTTTTGGGAGGGCATTGAGGATTAAAGCCAGGAAGCATCAACTTTGGAAAGGATCAGAGGCTCAAGAGTAGATGGGGACATTGAACTAGGCTATTGTAGTCTAGAAGAGGTGAGGGTGATTTGATTAGGTTGGAGATGGAAAAAATTAAGCCGGGGCAGCTTGGCTCAGCGGTTGAGTATCAACCTATGGTCCAGGAGATCCCAGTTTGATTCCCAGTCAGGGCACATGCCCGGGTTGCTGGCTCGAGCAGGGTGCATGCAGGAGGCAGCTGGTCAATGACTCTCTCATCATTGATGTTTCTCTCTTTCTCTCTTCCCTCTCTCTGAAATCAATAAAAATATAAATAAATAAAAGAATTAAAATGGTTTTATCTGAGAGGACTTTTGGACATGGAGTGACGGAGTGTGGATTCTAGTTGAAAGGACAAAGGGCCCATTAACTGAGATAATCAATAGTGGAGGGGGCTGGGTTTGTGGGGGAAGATCATGAGTTTGCTTTTAGACAAGTTTTGAGGTGTCTTTTAGACTCGTGACCCCTCTCCCCAGCAGAACTGTCAAATAGGGAAATGGCCAGATGGGCTACAAGCTTGGAAGAGAGAGGGCCAGGCTGGAGAGAATAGATTTGGGAGTTGTCAGCACATACATGGGACTTGATGCCATGGCCATGGATGGGGTCAGCAAGAAGATACTGAGAGAGCAGACAAGGACCAGACTGTGAGGAGCACCAGCATTTAAAAGCTATTCAAAGAAAAGGAGCCTGCAGAGGAGGAGAGTCCAGGAAGCAAAAGGAAAACTAGGAGTGTGGACCCAGTACAGTGCTGCCTTGGTTTTCGAATGTAATCCGTTCTGGAAGACTGTTTGAGTTCTGAAACGTTCAAAAACTGAGGTGCCACTGTACTCTGAACCAAGAGCTCTTTCTGAGTGTTTACATCTCACCCTGGAGAACGGATTCTTCCTTCTGTGCCTTCAGGCTCCTGAGGCCCTCGCTAGAGCCCTGCCACTTTGCCAGCTAGGAACCCTGGCTGAGGATTCTCTAGCAAGCCTTCATTGGTTCCCTGTCACTTTTGGGACTGAGCCCATACTTAGCCTGGCACTCAAGGCCCTTGGGTATATTTATATTTCAGAGAGAGGAAGGAGAGGGAGAGATAGAAACATCAATGATGAGAGAGTAATTGATCAGCTGCCTCCTGCACACCCCCTACTGGGGACTGAGCCTGCAACCCAGGCATGTGCCCTGAATGAAAATCAAACCTGGTTCATAGGTTGACTCTCAACCACTAAGCCACAGAGGCTTGGCTCCAGTGCCATTTTGATTCTCCTCCTTAAATGCTTTTTCCGCGCCCCCCCCCATGGGCTTCCTGACAGTCATCATTCAGCTTTCTGTTCAAGTGTGGCCTCCTGACTCCTTTTTGACCTCAAAGAGAGCTAAGCTCTTATTCCTTGGGGTCCCTCCTGTAACTCATCTGTCCCAGTATACCACTTGTCGTACTTGGTGGCATTTGTTGCCAAGAAATAGAGAAACACATCTCTCCAGAGAAACACAGTCACCAAACACAGATTTGCACACTTTAAGAGGTTGAGTGACCCACATTGATTACTGGACTCCTTGAGGGCAGGAGCCGTCTTATCTGTGTCCGTACCCCGAAGGCCCAGTCCAGAGGTTGACTTTCAACTAAATGAGGGAATGAACAAGCTAGAAATGACTGTCATTTCAGGATCATGGTTTTGGCAGGAGACACGTTGCCCATTGAGGTATACTGCCATCTCCCAGTTATGTGTGAGGACCGGAATTTGCCCTACGTCTATATCCCCTCTAAGACGGTAAGGAGCACCTGAGCCCTGATCTTGATCAGCACTAAGGCAGAGGGTCTGGGATGGGGTCTGTGGCAGTAGGCCATAGTAGAGTGTGAGCTTTGAATTAAGATGGGCCTGGGTGGACTCTTGGTTCTGCTGCTTCCTAGGTGGGGGACTGCTGGTAAGTTATCTCAGTATTTATATTTCCTTCTTGTACAATGCAATCCCCTCTGTCGCCTGTGAGAATGAAACAAGGTATATATGGATGTGCTCTGTCAACTAACATGCTGTACGCTTGTTAGTCCTGTTAAATGGGTGCAGTGCTCAGAGGGCATGTTTTAGGGATCTGGCTCCTTATCCTTACATAGCAGGAGCTAGGTCTGGGGCACAGGGAATGGGGGATGACAGGAACTTGGAGAACACAGGCGCCCTGCCTAAGGGGACAGCCCCTGCTGGGCTGGAGCCCTTTCACAGTTGCAATGTGGGAATGTAGGCCCAGTGTTGCTGGACTACTTAAAAGTTTGCTGAGTTTAAATGATAGTAACCAATTCGAAATGTTTTAAAATATATTGTTGACCAAATAGCACTTCTTTGAGCCAGATTGGGCTGGTGGGTCATCGGTTTGTGACTCTTTGTCATACAGGTTGTGCGGCCCTTTTTCCAAACAGCCCTTCTTTTTCCTCTGCAGGATCTGGGTGCAGCCGCAGGCTCCAAGCGCCCCACCTGTGTGATAATGGTCAAGCCCCATGAGGAGTACCAGGAAGCTTATGACGAGTGCCTGGAGGAGGTGCAAGCTCTGCCCCCACCCATGTGAGGGACTTGGGCAGCAGCCTGGGCACCTGCTCCAGAAGCTATTGGGCTGGCAGGGGGCCAGCTGGCTGCCCTCCTGCTGCTCACACTCACAGCATCTCCCAGTCTCCTGAGGCACATATTTTCCCCAGGCAGCTCTAACAGTATCTTCTCCATCATTGTTGTTTCCTGTTGAGTTTCCTGGCACTCAGTTCCAGGAATGAAGCGTGAAGGAAGTAAATGCTAAGACTAAAATGTGATGAGTCTGTGGGTGTTGTTTTTTTAATGTTTTTATTGATTTTAAAGAGAGAGGAAGGGAGAAAGAGAAACATCGATTGGTTGCATCCTGTATGCACCCTGACTGGGGATCAAACCCACAACCTGGGTATGTATCCTGACCTAGAATCAAACCAGGAACCTTTCGGTGCATGGGATGAAGCTCAAACAACTGAGCCACAATGGCCAGGGCTCTGTGGGTGTTTTTTAAAGCAGCAGCTGCTGGTAGGGCCAAGGAGTTGGTGGGCAGGAAAGAGTGAAGCAGCCTTTCTCACCATGGGACTTAAAGGACTTTAGAGTGTTCAGTGCTAAAATGCTTGGCTGCCAGGGCTGGTGCTAGACTCAAGCTGAGAACAGACTGTGCTGCCTACCCCCAAGCTTTCACCTCCCACCTCCAGAGTAGGTGGAAGTTGCAGGTAAGGCAGCTGAGCCCAGACCCCATTGCATGGAAGCCTGCAGCCTCTATGTCGGGGACACCCTCATTCCTCTTCTTCCTGCATGAATCTTAAGTGCCACTGGGAAGCTTACGGAAGAATCTACCTACCCACACAGGACATTTTGAATAGGAATACGAAGCTAAATACAAAACCCCAGGACATCTTTCCTGCTTGGCATAATGGCCCTGGTAACCCAGGCCCTTCAAATATTTTATTATTTTTTCAATATGTCTTTATTGATTTCAGAGAGAGGAAGGGAGAGGTAGAGAGA